GGAATGTTCAGCCTACTGGCTAATGAGGGTATTATGAAGGGGGGAAAGGAAACAAAACTCTTTGCGCCCTATAAATATCGTAAAAGACAAGGGTTGGGGGTCACTGCCTTGTGAATAACAATAATGGTGTGCCATCAACTCAGTTCTGACTTGTGGTGACCCTTTCCAGGGATTTTGAGGTAGTATGTACTCAGCAGTGCTTTACCATTCCTTTTTTTTTCCTGGGGCACCCTGGGACTGTGCAGTTTGCCCATGGTTACACAGGCTGGCTCTTTGTCAAGGAGGCACAGTGAGGAATTGAATTCCCACCCTTTGGCTCTGCAGCCAGATGCCTAACTCACTGAGCTATCTAGCCAGCTACCAATAGCTGGTTGGCAATTGAGTAAAACGGACTGGAGTATAAATAGAAATACCACAAACTATGCAATTCATTACATGTTTATTCTGAAGCCGGTCCCATAAGATTGAATGTGGCATACCCCCAGGGAAGTGCACTGCAGCCAATACATTCAGGCTTGCAAATAATAGCTATTATTTTCCACTACTGGTACTGTAAAGCTAATTTCTGGCACAGCAATATATATTCCAAGTCCAGACAAGTATCTTAAACCACTGAATGAATTAAGGCAGAAGTAAAGTTTAGCAGACAAATGTGAGTGAGGTTAAAGGAAGGTTACCATTCCCTGGACTTCCCCACTATCAACAATTAATTTCTTGTTTGGTTTTGTTCATTTATTACGAACAGGTGCAAGCTGCTCCACAGTCTAGATATTTTGTGTACAATTAAAAAAAACATAACTAATGAAGGGGGCTGGCAAAGACTGTGTTACATTTTAGTAAAAATGAAAATAAGCCTGGCATAAAACCAAATCTAAACATTTATAATCATAAGCAAATCATAAGCAAATAGAAAACTCCATCATCTGGTGCTGAAAAGATACTACATTCAACACCAGGTGAACTTCCCAAAGACAGTGTTCCAAAGCTGGAGTGTCACCAGACAAGGGTTTTTCCCCATCACAACTGATTTCACTTTGAAGTCCGAGAACGGCCTTTGCAGGCCATTAGTGACGCTGGACAAGTTCATGCCAGAGCAGTAGGTCCTTCAAAATTACCCATCCTTTTGGAGAAAAGAAGGTTTTCTACGTTGAATAGGTTTGGTTAAAGATATTATGGAACATGGGGAACATACGATGCACCACAGGCAAGATTAGATATATATTTTATTGCATGTGTTTATAACACGACAGGTAATATTAAGAAAAACTGGACCAAACTCCGGGAGGCAGTGGAAGACAGGAGGGCCTGGCATGCTCTTGTCCATCGGGTCACAAAGAGTCGGACACGACTAAACGACTAAACAACAACAAATATTAAGAATTCATCTTGGTATGTGAGAGAAAGAGAGACTGAGGAAGCAAGAATAAGCGGGGATCAGATGAGAGAGAAACTGGATTTCTGGAGAACCTCTTGATTTTACCATTCTTAAACTTCCCCGTGTGGAACAATGCATGAGAAGAAGAGTTTAAGCTCATGGGTTGCACACACCCCCTAACCCTAATTCCGTTTACAAGATTGCTGCCTCTCAAGAAGGGAAACATTTCTGAAAAGTAGGAAGAAGAAAAAGGGTCACTTTTCCTTTCCTCTCTCCTTCCTGTGGTGGATTTAACCTCAGGGCATTCATCCCACTCATTCACTCTTCTCATTGTCACACTTGGCTCCTGAGTAAAAGCTCCGCATTCACAGGTTTGTAGAAAAGCACTACAGTATTTCTACATCTTGCCATTTGCTGTTAAGATCTGAAGTGTGGGGCTGTGTTTTCTACCAACAGATAGTGCCATTTAGCACATGACCTTTATGGAAGATAAAGTAAGCTTGCCTTTTGTTTTGTTTCTGGTTTCCAGTTTTCCTGAAATAGCTTACAGGTGTATATGCCCTAACAGTCTAGCTCCTGTGGACCTTCTTTGTTCCTCTACATAGGTGTTCTTTGGTCAAGGTACCCGGATCGGAATGCAACAGAGGGAGCTTTTAATATGCTTCAAAGCAGAGGCCCTGCATTTCTTTCATTCCTCTTCCAGTCTCTCAAAGGAAGGGAGGCACAGAACAGTCCAGCACCCATGCCTAGAGGGAGTCTCCCCTTCCCCCGGGCACTTAGGGAAAACTGTGTACTGGATTAGGATCCTTCCCTTACTTAGCACATACCCCTGAGCACAGAAGAAAAATGAACCGTGTAGTCAGAAGGATTCCCATAATCAAATGGCTCCCACCAGACACTATTGAATATAAAGGGGAGAGTACAGCCACTCCTGTCTATTGCCACTACAGTGGTGCCTCACATTACGACGTTAATTCGTTCCAGCAAAATCGCTGTAGAACAAAAACGTCGTCATGTGAAAATAAAAAGCCAATTGAAACGCACTGAAACCCCTTCAATGCGTTCCAATGGGCTGGAAACTCACCGTCCAGCGAAGATCCTCCATAGGGCAGCCATTTTCGGTGCCTGTGCAGCGAGGAATCCGTCCCAGAAAACAGTGGGGAGCCATTTTATTTACCCGGCGGCGATTTTGAAACCGCCGATCAGCTGTCCGAAAATCGTCATTTTGCGAAGAATCAGTTCCCGAAGCAGGGAAGTGATCATCGCAAAGCGAAAAACCCCTATTCAGACCATCATTTTGCGATTGCAAAAAGATCGTTGTAATGCAGTTTTGTCATAATGCGGGGCAATCGTAAAGTGGGGCACGGCTGTACTAGCAAAATTCTCATCATCAACCCTAGAGGAAAAATGACACTACAGCTCCATTCTTTAGATGAGTGAGTATTGTCTTAAGGACACCTTTACATGCATCATTCAATGGCCAATGTGAGGAAGGCTAAGAAGTTAGGCTATGCCCAATGGGAAATGCTAGGCTGATGTGTACAGAATGAAAATTCATCCAAGTGGTGGCATTTCTACACACAATTCCAGGAGTCACCTGTTGCAGCTGCTTTCCCATCACAAAGCACAATCTCTATGTTTCTCTGATCTTTTTGCACACATCCATAGCACTTTCAAACAAGACTAGTCCTAAGGATTGTTGCCTACCTCCTTGCATGGGCCTTTGAGACAACAGGGTGAACCAAAATGTATTGCATTTAAGTGAGGGTGCTTTGCCCAGGACTGGCCACAGACGTTCAGTGAAAGTAAGTCCCCTAGATCAGTGGTTCTTAACCTTTGTTACTTGGATGTTTTTGAACTGCAGCTCCCAGAAACCCCAGCCAGCACAGTTGGTGGTGAAGGCTTCTGGGAGTTGCAGTCCAAAACTCCTGAGTAACCCAAGGTTAAGAACCAGTGCCCTAGATCACTCCAGAGCAGCTTTAAAATGAGCTTTTGCACATGTTTAGGATGGGACTTGGACTTCCTTTCAGGATGTGATAAAAAATCTGGCACACTGTTGAAAACACACTAAGAAATGGAAGGGTGGCCTGGTAGCAGGGAAGCAAGGGGATTAGGTATTCTCATCATGTATAAATCATGGTACAATAGTATCTAGAAATCATATTGAAGTAGTCAACATAGTATTTATTTATTTGATTTCTAATTTTCCTTTTCCCAACATAGACCCACCAACACATATCAAAGGCTATCATGTTAAGACACAATTAGACAAACTATATCACTAAGACACTGTTGTATTATTCATTTAAGAAAAAACAGGCACAGGAGCAATCTCTTAAAAGCCCATCTGACAATAGCCAATAAATGGCCCAAAGCCTGCTGGAATGAAAATGCTTTTGCCTGCAGTGGAAGGACTGCAGGAAGGAAGCCAAGCTAGATTTCCTTGGAAGAGAGTTCAATGGTCTGGAAGCAGCCGCTAAGAAAATTCTCACATTTGTATCCACAAAACATGTTTGTGGCAATGGTGGAACCGAGAGAAAGGTCTCAAAGATCTCAGAGCCTGTGTAAGCTCATGTAGGACTATACGGACCTTCTGATACAGCAGGCACTCTGATCATATATTTGAAAACACAGAATCGGATTAATTCAGGGATAATGTCCAGAAACAAGAGCAAAGCACACAGGGATGTTGGCAGGATAGAATATATTTATTGCTGTCTATTGATTTTGGCTGATCACACTTTTGGCCATAACTGGGCTCCTCTTCTAGATTTAAATCACATTGTCCAAATTTCCCCTGGTATCTTTACACCGGATTCCTATGGGAATTCTTCTTACTTAATATCAACTTTAGTGATTTGTTTATACGTCCTCTATGGTTGTTTCAGTGATTGAATGAAGGGAGAAAGAATGCCTCTCAATCTTTTGTGGTGACTTTTCTAACCATTATTTTAAAAAGCTACTCAAAGCTGTGACTTGGCTAAAACCCAGGCAGAGTCTGGGGTGTGACTTTCATCTATACATCTATCCCCACCACCACAATTTTAGCACTGAACCACTTTTAGCACACCCAAATTAAACTTTCCAGTACAGTATAGACCCACAAGACATATTATCTCACTGCAGCCTTACTATTCAGGCTGCCCAGTATGGAGGGTGGCAGTCACAAACAACAAACTGCTGTATCCCCATTCACCAGACCAGGATACAATAAATGAAAATGTGATGTATTAGGAAAAGGAAACACACTTGTGCATACAATTCCTGAGGTGTGAGTGTAAATGAAGCTAATCAGGTCCATTAATTAATATATAATATATAAATAAAAAATCTTCAGTCTTGTATAAAGATTCAAGACTGAAGATTTTTTTAAAAAATGTAGACACATATTTTCTAGCAAAGCAAATGAAGACTTCCCACCACCACCCTGCCCAGAGGTATGTTGTCAAAAAATGTGGTGTTGAAGTATGACAAGCCTAGTCATGGTGAACATGCCACAGTTTGTCTCAAAGGGAGAAAGCCCATATTACATCTAATGACCCTTTTCCCCCTCAAGCCATTACTGGACAAGCCAGAATGCTAAAGCAACAGAACTGTTAATTGGCAGTTATGAAATTTGGCCTACCTTTTCTCTAAGATCTGCACATATTTCCTGTTGTTTTCTTCTATTATTGGCCAACATGATCTCTGTCTCATGAGAGGTGCAGGCTTCAGCGAGAGTCATGACTGCCTTCAGTAAAAAAGCTTTTCTTGCCTCGATCCAGTTGAGCATCAATGTTCTCCATTGATTCCTCGTAAAATGATAATGGTCCCAAGCCCTTTCATGAGCAACCTGATAAAAATTAAAAGCCTCATTAATTCATTCGTCTGTTTGTCTGTCTATCATGACCATTTTAACTCATAGCATCAACCAAGTGATTTCCATGGTTCAAAGTTATGTCAAGGAGTTATTAAAATTAAACCATTAGAAGCAAACATTATCTCCCTCTCAACTCTGTGCCCATCAATGAAGACTGGCAGAGGAAACCTAGCAAGAGATTCAAGTATTTGTACGACCGTCTGGGTTGAGCTATATAAACTAGTGCTTAACTATACTGATAAAAGGTTTACATCCACACGCTGCCATAGGAAGAACTAAGCATCGAGGATGGAGAGAAGATAAAGAATAATTGAAAGACTGCAAATGCTTCTTCCCCCTTTCCCCCTAATTCTAAAAATGGGGGCAGCTCAAACAAAAACTTATAACTTTGAAATGGATTTAGGATCAGCACCAAATCTGGCACAGGTAAAACAGACAGTCTGCTTTTGCTCTGTGCCAGATTTAGGATCAGCACCAAATCTGGCACAGATACAACAGACAGTCTGCTTTTGCTCTGTGCCTGTGCCAAATTTGTGAAAGGATTTCTGTGGGTTGTGGTCCAACCCAAGGACCCCTCTAGACTATTTCTGTGGGTTGTGGTCCAACCCAAGGAGGGGAATCACTGCTCTAGACTATCTTGACTTCTACCCTTGATGTTGTCAACATTCAGGCTGCCCTTTGCTATGTAAAGCTTGACATTTTTTGGGGGGGGGCTGGCAGTGCAGACACAATTTTGTGCAGCAGTATCAGGCCATTTCCGGGCATTTTTCAATCATGGGTACAGAAGCACAATGTCCCACATTCATAAATCAGAGGGTTTTTGAAGAACTGGATGGTATTCTGTTAGTGTGAGGAGCTGCTGTTGAACAAAGATACTGGAAGAGTCCCAATGCATGTAAAGAAGAGAATGGCTAGGATCCATTCCCACTAGTTCACAAAGAAGCAGTAGTACAGTATGTAAGAACTGTGGTCATGTATATATCTGAATTTGCAGCCACATTCTCTCAAGTTGTGTAAACTGTCTCTCTAAAGGGTCTTCTTATCTTCAGGAGGAGCTAGCTTTTCAGATACAGCAAGCAGCTGCAGCCAGTCAGCAGATTTAGAGATAGGCACCACATTTGAATGGATTTTGCAACTTGGGGAATATATCTACACATCACATCTTAAGGGTGAACTATATACTCAACATTTAAAAAAAAAAAACCATAACCAGTTCATCTTTACTTATAATGATGACAACTCTGACCTACACTGATGCATTCTGTTTGTTTAGTTTTTGATTGACAGAAAAAGTGATACTGGAATCCCTTCATCAAAAGCTCCATGTGAGTGATTACAATCAGATCCATCTGATGCATGTAAACAATGCATGTAATCATGCACCAAAAGTTGTGAAAATGGCTGGAAATACAATTTTTAAAATAAAATATTTAGAAGTAAAATTGATGTTTTACCTTTAGATAAGGAGAGCAAGTCAATGTGAATCAACCTGGGGTTCTTCCTCCAATTCAAATTATTTTCCTCTGTAACTGCGGCTTTTACATTTTTTGCAGCAAATGCATTTGGCTCAGGCAGTGTGGCTGCTTGTGCTAATACATACAGTTTCAGATCTTTCTATGCAACAGTTTATAGCATTTAAAGGCGTTCCACTCAGCTACAGCAGCAGGGAGAGATATTTAAATGGGAAACTGACTGTTATTTGAATCCTCTCTTCCCCAAACCTGGTGCCTAGGTCTCCTTGTTCTTCCATTCTCTTCCCTTACTGTTCTGTTTCTTTCTTTTAAGGCTTGGTGCCAGCACAGTTTTTTAAAAATTTAAAATAACTTTACCCCATCTTTCTTCTTAAAAAGGGTCCAAAGCAGCTCACATTGTTAAAAGACAATATTTAAAGCTAAAATTAGTAAGTATACAAATACTAAAAAGGATAAATAAATACCATACTAAAAACAGTAAACAAAGTAATATCAAAACCACATTCAAAGTGGTAAGGCACAATCATCCATTTAAAACCCCACAGGCAGCCAGTCTTAAGGGAAAACTTGCCTGAAGAGAAAGATCTTTGCCTGGCCTCCTGTGGGAGAGAGTTCCAAAGTCTGGGAGCTGCAAGAGAGAAGGCCATCTCCTATGTCCCCACCAAATGCACCTGTGAAGGTTGTGGGGCCAAGAGAAAGACCTCTCTTGATGATCTTAACACCTGGGTAGGCTCATATAGGGAGACACAGTCTTTGAGATAGCTAGGAGACCAAAGGAGAGGGGAAAAAGAGCAAATAGTCAGCAGAGGATAAGAAGGAAATTTGTGACCAGCACTACTTTGCAGCTTGTTAAGCCTCCTGCAAATCTGCACAGCTACAGCAGAACTACCTTAACAAGCTGTAAATAAGGACTGATTGTCAATTTCTCCATCTCTCTGCTGACTCCTTTGTGGTCAACTAAAGTGAATTCACCAGGGAAACTCAGCTTCCTTTGTGCAAAATCACTGCAGATCTATGTGAATTTTTCCCACTGTGTGTACACACCCCAAGCCTGGCCAGAATACCCCAGAAGATTGGACGTCATAGAGCCAGGTGAACACCAGTTCTTCGATACACAGCCCTTCTTCAAATCCAGATGCAAACCTTGAATTTTCTGGTAATTACAGTAGTCCTGACAATTCATACATAGCTCTTGCAAGTGCTCAGAATAATGGAAGTGTATGATTAAACCTCTGTCCATGGACAATTAGGACAGTCTTTGTAGCGAACAAAATATTTACATGAGGAAACCTAAAGTTCAATCTATATGTCTGTTCCCATTTGATTAAGTGGTAAAAATGCCATTATATGATGTTTACCAGATGTATTTGCATACTGAGCATTTCTTGTAATTTTCCTTCTGTTTTGACATGAGACATATATTATGCTTCATATTTTATCTTAGCTTTCAACAAATAAACAGGTTGTAGCAGTTCTAGTTTCCCCTATATGGGAGCAGAATTAGAAGAGTTACTTCACAATTGATTAAGTGGTAAAAATGCCATTATATGATGTTTACCAGATGTATTTGCATACTGAGCATTTCTTGTAATTTTCCTTCTGTTTTGACATGAGACATATATTATGCTTCATATTTTATTTTAGCTTTCAACAAATAAACAGGTTGTAGCAGTTCTAGTTTCCCCTACATGGGAGCAGAATTAGAAGAGTTACTTCACGAAGAGAATTACTTTTTGTTGAGAATAAGGACTACCAGGATATGGTCTGATATATTGTGCGTCTCATTCTTGGTCACCAGAAAGGCAACAATTGCTCAGCCTGTGTTTGTTTCTTGCTATTTTCACTCAGTAATATGTGTGAACTTCAAATGTGTAGCTGCTCTGATAGAAATATCCTATTAGAAATGGAAGGCAGGAATTGTCCTTTCTCCCAGCAATCCTTGATGCCAGGTGACATGGCATCAAGGATCACGGGTCTCTTGAGATCAGATGGAGGGCTGTGAGGAGAGGGGAAAGAGGCTCTGATGTGCAAGCAAAAGTTGCTTCATATCATTCAATAACTTACAAAGTGCATTTGTGTTGAAAATTTGCCAACCCAAAGGCTCATGATAACATTGAACTGAAATAAGTGCTGGTATAACATACAAGATCTTCTCTAGACTTGTGAGGGAGAAGTTTCTGTAGCATATCCAAGTAAAGGGTTCTTCTGCCTTGCATGGGTTTTGGATACTGATTAATGACAACCTGATAAATCCAAAGATCTTCTTTGTTCCATTGGAAAGTGCTGTGAAGAAATAAGAAGGAAAAAATCGAACACAGATGAAGCCTTCAAAAAGAGACAGGTCATGACAGGAACACCATGTTTCTTACGTCAACTTTCTAATCCTGCCATGAGTCCTAATGCTACCAGTGCTGGAACAGTTTTATGTGAGAATCTTTCAATATAAATAGATCTTCAGCTGACTCAGTGGTCTTTGGATGTGAAATCTGTAGAACATTTTGCAAGCAATAGAGTCAATTTGAAAGCGTCCTCTTTGCACCAAACAAAAACACTTTTTCAGGCCTGGAACAAGCTCTGAAGAGGATGTTCTGCTAATTTTTTTTCAGTTGATTACAGTCAGTTACTGGTTACCCATTCTTACTTTCTGCCCCTCCCCAGATCTCTCACCAAGGAATTCCCAAGTATTTCTGCAACGGGAACTATTTTGGAATGGAGACATTCCAGTGGTGTACTCTTCCAAGTATACTGAAAATCAGGATGCTTTAGCAACAGGTTTTAAGAAATTACCTGAAAAATACACTGAGTTTCTTTTGTCAAAGTGGAAATGTCATGGTAAAAGCCACATGTTGTAACGTCCATCTCGAACTGTGTCAGAGCCAGTGTGAGCAGACACTACAGCCTCTGGATTCAACATTGTGGTTAGTGGGAGAGTTTAGTTCTGGCCTCCCATAGTTGCTTTGCTCACATTCATGTACAGGTTCTGTATGTGAGCAAACATCTGGGTTCTTGCTCATATGCAAAACCTACACATAAGCAGGAACCTTCTCCTCGTTCAACATTGTGGTTAGTGGGAGAGTTTAGCTCTGGCCTCCCATAGTTGCTTTGCTCACAGTCTTGTACAGGTTCTGCATGTGAGCAAAACCTACACATGAGCAGGAACCTTCTCCTCTTTGTTCTTGGGCCATTTCTACTATGCTGGCAACTCCAGAGCCTGTAATGCCTGAATAAGGATGTAGTGCTCTGCCTCTGACTTTACCTTCAGACCACATATTACATATAGCACGAATGTAGAATCTATTCCCAGAATTTGGCCTAATCTTATTGATCTTTACAGTTCATTATTAAGAATGAAAGACAATGTGGATCAAGCCTTATAAATTCCATCTCTTGGAAGGCAGTGGAATATTGCAAAAGTGGAAAGGATGACCGATTTCCTCTCAGGCTATAGACTCTCCACACGTAAAGACAAGTTTGGCATGTTTAGTAAAAACAAAGCTAATGTTCTACGCATTTTATTTTTATGGCTTTTTTAATTTGATGTAATAGCTATTTCAAAATGTGAATCTTGGAAAGAGTGTAACATTTAGAAGAATTCCTAGAATGGGAGGGAAAAGTGGATGATTTCTGTATCCAGGGCCCTTCATAGATACAGCGTTCTTTGTTTTATTTGGCTGCACGCAGTGCATGTCCTCCTCTGAGCTAATATGTTTGAAGCCAGTTCATTTTTTTCATTCTGATATTACAACTGTATATTAAGCAGTGTTAACCATTTATGTTTCAGATTTGTTTTATTTAAATAAAGATAGAAGTACATACTGTACTGCTGAAAGGATTCCTGAATTTCATATTGCCCCAGAAGCCTACATGTTACAAAGAAATAATTCTAAGTTTTTTGTCATGTCGGTAGCTGGCCCAATGCAACAGGACTTTCTTTCCATGTCACCCAAAAGCTATTCAGTGAGGTCTCCTGGAGGGAGAATCTGTCCATGTTGTGAAGACTTGTTAGTTACCTCATTCTTACTAAGACAACCTGTCAGAAAAATGAGATATTCTGCTTCCATTGCAAGATTGGGCAAACCAGTGCTTTATATCTGTCAAGGTTTCTGCATTTTGTGCAAAATGTCTTTAAAAAATTGCTATCCTTTTCCTTGGTAAAGTTAAACACACACACACACACACACAGAGCAAACATGGAAGGACTTGCTGACTGACAAAGAAGATGTATACAATTCATCCAACGGTTGTGGGTTTTTTGGGCTCTTTGGCCATGTTCTGAAGGTTGTTCTTCCTAACGTCAGGAAAAACAACCTTCAGAACACGGCCAAAGAGCCCGAAAAACTCACAACAACCATTAGATCCCGGCCGTGAAAGCCTTCGTGAATAAATTCATCCAATGTTTTTGCTTTTTAAAATTGTACGCAGCTAATGTACCTTGCACAACTACGCAACAATCATGCTCTCAAATCTGCAAATCAGCCTCAAGGCTATGCAAAAACAGCAATTCTCCTTCTCAGAGATAGGTGAAATATGAGTCACTGCTCTTTCTCAATACCTAGACAAGCAAGGATTTACAGTATGTCCTTAATTCTAACAGTGGGGAAAACTTCTTGAATCCTGGTTATACTTTAACAAAAGTCCTTTATCCATCTCAGCTTTTTCTTGCATATGTACTAACTAGATCAGTGACATGTTTTGCCCCTTTTCTCACAAAGTATATCCTTTTTCCAGCTTCTGCTCCTAGAAATTAGTAATCCTTACATAACCAGGAGCTATCATTTACAGAAACCGAGGAGCTTTTAGATGCTTTCATGGGCTAGATCAGCCATTCTCAATCTTTTTTTTTTGCCACGACCATAAACACAATATGAAAGAAACATAGGCTAAATCAGGGTTGTTTAACTCACATAATGAACCTTGTAAGATGGGTTGTGAAGAAGTGTTTCCAGTCTGTGGCCTCCTTCAAATGTGCCAGGGGCTCCCAGGAGCCCATATGGCTCCCCTAGAGAGTGGCTGGGCTAGATAACCAAAGCAATCAAAAATGGATGACTTCATGTCGAGACTCCACATACAGATCAAGCAGACCAATCCTAAGCATGCTTACTAGACAAATGGTCCTGCTATGTTCAGTGGGGTTTATTTTCAGACAAGTGTGCAAACCGCTGCTGTCTGAAGGGGTAGGAAAACAGGAGCATAAAGATGTGAAGACAGAATTTAGAGTAAATGTAAAATAAAAGAAGAAACATGACATATGAAAGCAATTATGAAGGTAGGACATTTTCCAAATTGGTGCAGTGTTGTATAAATACCGTGTTTCCTCGAAAATAAAACAGGGTCTTATACTGTATAAACTTTTCCTCCAAAAACGTATTAGGGCTTATTTTCAGGGGATGTTTTATTTTTTTCATGTATAATAATCTACATTTATTCAAATGCAGCCATGTCATCTTTTTTTGCTGGACGGCAGGCTTTCACTTAACTAGGTCTTATTTTTGGGGTGGGGCTTATATTACGAGCATCCTGAAAAATCATACTAGGGCTTATTTTTAGGTTAGGTCTTATTTTCAGGGAAACAGGGTAAGTGATTCTGAGCAAAAACCTGATGCTACATTTCTAGGGAAGATGTCAGTGAACAATACAGGGCCATTCCCCCAACATATATGGGCATATAAAAAGTTATAAGAAAGGAGTTACAAGAAAAGAGATTTTGACTAAACATTATGAAGAACTTCCTAACAATGAGAGCCATTTGACAGTAAATCTGCACCAAAGGATAGTAGATTCTCCACCACTGGAGATATTTAATCAGAGGTTGGAAGGACACCTGTCAGGGATTTCCTGCACTGGCAGAAGGCTGAAATCAGTGACCTTTGGAATCCCTTCCAGCTCTCCAATACAGTGGCGCCCTGCTTGACGACGATAATCCATTCTGCTAAAATCGCTGTTAAGCGATATCATCATTAAGCGAAAGTAAAAAACCCATTGGAATGCATTAAAAACCGGTTAATGCATTCCAATGGGTGAAATACCTCATTGTAAAGCGAAGATCCTCTATAGGGGAAGCCATTTTCGATCGCTGTCTTCCGGAAAACAGCGGGCGGTGCATTCCAATGGGCGAAATACCTCATTCTAAAGCGAAGATCCTCCACAGGGGTAGCCATTTTCAATCACTGTCTTCCAGAAATAGGTGGAAAATAGCGGGCAGCGCAGCCGTTTGAAAACCCGACAATCAGCTGTTTTTGATCGCCGTGAAGTGAAAAATCAGTTTCCGAAGCAGGGACCGATTCAACATAAAGATCCCGAAGCAGGGACCGATTCAACGTAAAGAGAAAAAAAACCCATTGAATCATTGTTTTGCAATCGCTATAGCGATAGCAAAAACTAATCATAAAGCAATTTTTGCAAAAAACTAATCATAAAGTGATTTTGTCGTCTAACGGGTCGTCATGAAGCAGGGCACCACTGTACTATGATTCTATCACCAAGGTCACAATTCAGTGAATTCGATGGCCATATGAACACATTATGTGATATTGTGCCACTGACTGGTGACAATGCATCCAGTCAATACCATTCCTCAGCTTTTTTTAGAGACAATGCTAAACTACAGCACAGTTCTTGTACACAAGTGTTGAGGTTATACACTATTTCCTGAGGCAAGCCACAAGAAGGCAAGAGGATTTCACACCCATTTTTCCATTAACCAGACTTCCCTGTTACATTTAAACTCAAAGGCTCAAATTCTATCATGTTTTAATGTGTGCGCAAGAGGAGTTAAACAGTACAACCAACTGAAGAAGTATTAAGTACAACCTGGTCACATCACCTGGCACCCCATCAATTAGCTGAAGCAACTGGTGTGATTCCTCTTCTGCATGCATAAAATCCCAAAAGATTTTGACCAACCAGTTTAAACAATGGCTTAGGGAACAATCTAGAATCATAATGCATTAATTGATTCTTGCTTGTTTGATCTAACCAGAGTTTCCTCACGTTCAAATATAAGTTAATTCCAGTTTGTTGAAAAGTTGAAGTGTTTCTCCTTGGGTTTGCAGGTAAGGAGACAGATAGGACAGGAGCTCATGGTTCATACAGAGAGACATGGTCAAGCACATAAACCTAGACCATTGTTTAAGGGTACATCTGAACTGGTCTTCTATAATGTTAATTCATACACATCACTATTATTTGCTATTATCTGAGAACTCAGAGCACTTAAGAGTCTATTTCAGATGTGCAGGAGAATAGCACAAAACCAGAGTCTTACTGAAAGAAGATGACAAAAG